AATGTGTTTTAGGCTTGATAACTGACAGTCTATATTGTTATAACTAAAAAGGCTTGCCTTTTCAGCAACTGGGGGGAAGCCTAAAAAGAATATTCTTCTATGTGCACTCTATGAAGACTTTCTAGAGAGTGAATGCACAGTTCAACCTTTCTCCAGAAGGCTCTGAAGGAACCACTAAGAAATAAACTGTTCTTGCTAAAGGTTCCCATCTTTCTCTTTTCTACTTTTCCTTCTGAGCATGCTCAATTTCAGTCCCACAGGATACACTTGAGCAATCCTTAGGCAGGGCTTTGCTACCTGTCCTACAAAATCAGCCTTTATGAAGCTTGTTTAGTACTTATAGATCATCCGGACCTCTATAGTCAAACAATCATAATTATTTATCTGGCTAAGAAGCCACTGAAGCCAGACGCCTTTTCTGTCATTCTCCAATCCAACATCTTTACAAAACCACCAGTTTTCTAAAAAAGGATATTTAGTGATGCTAAAAATGCCAGCTGAAAGGGCACAATACACCACTGGAAGCTAGGCCAGGAACTTGGAGTTGGATGGGTTTTTGCTTATCTATAGCAAACACAAACAAACTGGCTAATAAATCTGAGAAACAAATATGGGGCTACCCAAAGTGAGAACTCTTTCACTGCTTGCATCTTTAATGAAAAGTAGCTGACTTTGTGTGGTGCATGAGTTATATGAGTAGCATGGCTGGATCAAACTCTGACATTGGACACCAAACAGACTTTTTGGATTTTATTTGGAGCTTGAGGACTTTAGTACATATGAGACTTCATCTAGATTAATTCTGAAATCAGAAGTCTCTTGGGGAGAGTTTCAAGGACACAGCTGCTGTTTTCCTCCCTTTCTGGATCACCACAGGTCATAACCCATGTAATCTCCTTTGGCTTGCAGCATCCCATAACATACAGTTTTTTCCTCTGCAACATCTTTATTACCTCTTTCTCTTTTCTCACATTTTACCCAATCTAAAAGCCTTCATGATGTGTGGACTTTAGTTCCAGAATTCCCCTGCCAGCACCACCATTCCTTGATTCAGAATTCTGGGAGGTGAATTCTAGACATGGGGAGGACATCTAGATTAGGGAAGCTGTTCCATAGGCCTTTCAATAACTCCAGGTCTCCATTTGAGTTCCTTCATTCTCACTCTGCTCCCTATCAATACATCTCTTTGCTAAGTTTAGTGATAACAGCACATAACACAGTTCAGTGACAACAGCACTGACCTAAGAGCTTTTGCATACAGAATGCCAGTGCAAAAGAGTTAACATACAGTACTCTGTTCAAGAAGTCTATGAATATGGTGACACAGGAATTCTCTCACTCCCATCCACACTTCTGATGGTTTTCAGATTGTCCTTAGGGAAGGGACACAAATATTTGAGATTCTTTTAGGAGGCTACAAATAGGAAAGTGCTTGCAATTGGCTCATAGGTTTTGTGTTCTGAAAGTATTTCTCATATCTGAAGAATCAGCAATAAAGAACTGCTAATAGTAAGAGGGACTGTGTGCGTGCATGACCACACCTGAAAATAACTCTCATACACTACTTCACAAAGCCAACATCATGCTGGAACACACAAGTAATATAGAAACTAGTCCAACTTTAGGCCAAACACTGGAAGCACTATAATTTTGAGTTCACACTCTATTTTCAAGGCATTGTAAAACATTCATTATAAATAGGCATTTAGTGATATTTTATGGTAAAATATTTTGCAGGAAAATTATTTCTTTAATGAGCTTGGCTGGTAGCCAACTTTTCCAAATATCTTGTGATTACCTACTTTGTGCTCTTGAAATATTTTAACAGAAGCAGCTTTCCCAACTGTTAGCTTCCTTGGGTGTTCAGAAATGGCAAAGGAAGATTTTCAAATAAACAATAAACAATAAACATTTCAGACAATATTACCATGGAGAAACAAATCCTCCACACCATCCCTAAATGTTCTCTTCTCAGTAGCAGATCTAATGCTTGTCAAACTCCCAAATATTTTCTGCAAATATTTCAAGGTCACTTGAGAATGCTCTGCTTAGATTTCCTTGTGTGCCGCTTAAGAGACTTCTCAGTGTTTGCTCCATCACAATAGCACCTATTTTTCTGCCCAACTTGCTCTCTAATTGCTCACTTTTCTAAAGATGTCCGCTTTTAATCATTTCACTGCATTTTAAAGATTATTTTTGTTTCATTTATTGAATGAATTCTGACTTTCTGGTTCCATTTACTTATTAGCTGATTTGACACCTCTGAATATAAATAAGTAAAAATAAACCAGTTGGGTTCTCCAGATTAAAAATGGGGTAGGCAGTGCTGACTACAAGGGCTTCTGTTTGGAAAGGAAGATAGGACACCCTCGAAGTGCATCATAATTGCCATATCACATCATGGCAATACAGAGTCAAATCCGCAGCAGGTTTTGCATGTTTGTCAGAATAAACAAAACGGTCATATATTTGCTTTCTCTTTTTAGCTCCCAAGGAGGCTACAAGTGGCAATCTTGGGGGGAAATATCTACTACTTGGGAGGCTTTTATGTTTGAAATGACTGGCCTCAAGCTTCATTGTTCCCTGCCAAGAAACCCTAAGGGCAAAAACGGGCAACAATTATGGGCAAGATGACTAGTTCTATGTAATAACAAGGTCCATTTGTTCAAAGACCTTGTCCAGTGACCTTGAGACACAGGCCACTAATTGTCCTTTGTGATCAGGATTTGTGACTTCCATCTAAGTGACCATAACGGCATTACCAAAGTAACCCACAAATGGCCCATGCTTTCTCAGCATGTTCTATACTCAAATAACAAAGGGCTTGTTTGATTTAGAGGCCTGAGCTACAAACAAGAGAGGAGCATTATTCTTTTTGAAAATTAAGTAGTTGGCCATATGTGTGGGATGGAAAATTGAAAACTGGACTGGGATAATAAATGGAATGAACAGAGAAGAGGCCCTTGTTAATAATCATAGCCATCATCACCATCCCAATAAGGTAATTTACACGGACAAGCCCAACATAATGGTTTATCATCATCAGGATCATCATCACCACTATCACCACCATCACTACTACTACTATTATCATTATTATATTTCATCATCATCATCATTTTGATTGTATTCAAGATACTAGTAAAACGCATGCCGCATGTAGCTGGTTGGGGACAGCAATAATAATTTTAACTTCCCCACAGTGCAGTGCTAACAACATACAGGGTGGGAAATATAAATGGCAGATGTGGTAGGAGTCTAGTTTTAGGGGTCTTGGATTTTGACTGTCTATAATATGGCATTCCTTTGGGTTCAAAGAAGACATGCTATTGTGCAGTTCATCTGTGGACACAGAGGTGGCTCTGAAGTCCCAGTCTGGAAGTGCAGAGTCTAGCACAACGGGGGCATTGGAAGCCCATTGTTGTAGTAACTGTGGGTGTTATTTGGTGACACTGCTCATGGTTTTCTATCAGTTTTTGGCGGCACCTGTCTTCAAAGCTGGTGGAGCACAGCTTCATAGCACAGGGGTGGCCAGCAGGTTCTGTCAGCAGCTGCAGCTTCTAGTTCCCTTGGCTGGATGTCACAGTGGCATAGGGTTTCTTTCACAGTGTCTTTGTAGCGCTTGTGTGATCGACCTCGAGGTCTCTTCACAGACTCCAGTACACTACAGAGCAACTGGCAAGGCATATGGTGGTCATCCATTCTGATGATGTGTCCCACCCACTGCATCTGGGCTCTGATAATCAGGGACTCAATTCTGGTGGACTCTGTGCATTCCAAGACCACCAGGTTGGAGACACAGTCTTCCCAACGAATACTGAGGATGGAGAGGAGAGCATGCATACGAAATTTCTCCAGTTGTTTGATGTGTCTTTGGTACAGAGTCCAGAACTCACATCCAAATAGGAGAGAAGGGATAACCACAGCTCTGTAGACTTTCAGTTTTGTGAAGATACGGAAGTTGTGTCGATTGAGCACTCTAGTATGCAGCCACCCAGTGCCTGGCTGGCCTTGCTGATCCTAGAGTCAATTTCTTTGTCCAAAGACTCACCGCTCAAGATGATGCTTCCTAAGTATTTGAAGCTGTTTACATTTGTCAACTGATTGTCATCAACAGTGATTTTTGGTTCTATGGGGTTGGTATTTGGCATAGGCTGGTAAAGTACTATAACATTATATATAAAGAAAGTAATTCAGCCCAATTTTTAAGCATTAAAATTGTTAAAGAATTGTTAAACCCTGATCAAAATAATATCGAACAGTCTTTCCACTAAATTTATAGAGAGCCAGTTGATAAACAGAAACCAGCAATCATTTTAAATTCTTGATAAAAGCTGCAAGCAGTGCACTGTGGGGGATCTAAAATGGCCACCATACCTGTGAATTCAACTTGTTTTTTAAAAAAACTAAAGCTGGAAAAAAATTTTTTATTCAGACCAGAGTAATGGCAAGTAGCATTAGTTTTCTTGATTTCCCTGAAATTAGTTGATTATATCACATTCAATATTAAGGACTCTCTTTGATGGCATACTTTCATCCCTGCTGCCATTTGCTGAGAACATAGACCAGCTCAAATTATGCTCCTCTCTGGTCTTCCCTTGCTAATCCAGTCTTGTCAAATTATCCCGACTTAAATGAAAGCAACATTTCAGGAAAGAGATTATCCAAAAACACAAGCAGAATACAGCTGACTGGGTTCATACCTAATTAAACCATGGTTGGTTTAAAACACTGTTTAACAAGCCACAGTGTCCTAGTTCATAGATAACATTAAAACATAAACCTTGGTTTGCAAACCAGAGGGACTGGGATTACACTTTGTGCTAACTGAAACTCAAACATTGCACATCACATATCCACATGATGGCACAGTGTGATATTTGAGCTCAGCCACAGTGGTTTTCACAGAATAAAGATTGTTAAAGCAAAATGACTATAGACTAGGGGGCCCTTGTGAAAACTGACACATATTCACCAGTCCAAAGCATAAAAGCCATTACCTCTTCCAGTCTCCTCCTCTGCTCTTTCTGTTCCTCAATCCTCTTTTGACGTTCTGCCAAGAGCTGCCTCTTGTGCTCTTCATTTTCACGCTGCTGCTGCTCCAGCTGCTGCCGACGGAGGGCCTCTGAGCGTTCCTTGTTTGCAAGCTGAAGCCGCAAAAAATCCCGCCTTAAGGTTGATTCTCCAGGCAGGTTTAGGATGGAGCTTTACCAGGGAAAACAAACTTGCATTAGTCCAGCAACACATATGCATTCAATATATGAAGGTTCTTGAATCCCTCCTGCTTTTCTGGTAGTCAACACTACTCATACTGGAACATCTACTTGAGGCTTCCCCAACTTGGGCATTTTCCAGATCTGTGCACTTCAACTCTCAAAATTCAAAGTTGGGCTTTCTTGACAATTTTGGGATTATTTATTTATTTACAGTCAAAGATCAAAACAATAAACATTAAAATATATACAACAGTCAAAAATTCATATACATGGTATACCAAAAGTCAGGCCCTGTAGGCCAATCACATTATGTTTTATTAATTTTATTAATTCATTTTTTTTTCAAGAAAATGTTGCTATATTTAGGAAAGTTCAGAGTTCATGAGTCAAACGAGTAAGGAAGTGTTTAGAAGAAAATAGCAACCAACTTGAACATGAAATGTAATTTATATAATAAACTGTCTATGGGCTTTTGGTATAATCTGTATATAAATTATATTAATAGGAGGGAGGGAAGGAGGGAGGAGGGAAGGGAGGGAGGAAGGAAGGAAGGAAGATGAAAACTGTAAGGAAGCCACCAGTTGATTCTTGTAAGTTGGGGCTATAGATAAAAATTTCCTACCACTCTTGATACATCTAAAAATTGGTCACTTAAAGGAAACTGTGATTTCCTTATATCATGAGGGGGATTAAAAATTCTAAAACTGGGGTTAAGAATTCAAATTGACACTGCATATAAAGTGGATAGTTTAATAGAAGATGGGATACAAATTCAATCCCTGTATTTGAACATAAACAAATACAATTTTCATATGGGAAGTTGAAATATCTTCCAGTTGTCGCTGATGGGTATCACACTGATTTGGGCCAGAGAAAAAAGCTTCCTATATGTGGAACAAACATGACTTTAAAAAAAATAGCCAGGAGGATAGGGGAATTCTACTGTAATAAAGATGGAAAATTTTGGCCCTAACCAACTGAACATCTAAGTCCCAAACACCTCTGCTTGAATTCTGCTAAGGTTTTATTGAGGCCTAAGATAAGTAAAGCGGTATTGACAGACCACAATATATCAGATCTTGATCAATTTGCCTTCATGGGGTGGATAAGGGATGCACGCTATTGCTTTTAGAAATTTAGATTGTATAGAGTCAAAGACTGAGATCTTACAGATACTCACTTTGATTCCATACAGCAACATATCCAGAACTTTGGCCCTGAATAGCCTAATGGCCACTGAGACATTCCCATGCCAACTTGCAAATTTAGTAATTGCTAAATTACTCTTTGGCACATTACAGATAGCTCCCTCACTTGGTTGCCTAAGCAGATGTGATGGAATGGAATTATAAAGGCCAAGCTCAGGGAGATAAACATTTTGATTGATGTCAGGCCTAGCCCAAGGAACTCCA